CACGGGGGCGCATCAATCTCTTCCAATTGGCATTGTGGTATTCTCCGCGTAAATACCCAGCAGTAGAATTACTGGAGCATGTGATCTTTCTATTTTTAACTTTTTGAGGCACCGCCACACTGTTTTCCACAGTGGCTGCACCAGTTTGCATTCCCACCAGCAGTGCAGGAGGGTTCCGAAAAGATCCTGTTACCTTAAGTCCCTCGGTTTGGGGTGCTTTGTTTCGGCAGCATAAGAAGCAAAGACAGCTGGATTTAGGGGTCCTTAAATATCCCCGGGACCTGGTGTCTTTCTGTCCCTCAACTCTTCCTTTCTTCATACTGGGTTTCTCGTCAGCCTCCCCACGGCAGTGAGATAGTAGCCAGTAACGGTAGTCCTGTGTACCCTCTTAGGGTCATGGGCGAAGGACAAGATTGTGTCTCTCTTCTAATAGCTCAACGAATGTCTGGTTATATTTAAGTGGCTTTGGTGGGGTCATGTGGTCGTCAGAACCAGTCTCTGTGGTCACGGGCGTCACGCCTGAGTCACGCGTGCCTCCTGTAGAACCAGATGCCATCCCTGTGTACGATGTGAGTCAGAGCTCCTAAGAGGGCCTCTTCCAGGTCCAGCGGGACCCACAGGACGCACGTGGATGAAGGACGCTCGGCACGGACACTGGTCAAATCCCAGTGCCGAAGGGTGTTGCCGCATTGATTGTCACGATGCTGGAGACAATTCGGAGTGTTGTGGATATTTTGTGGACACACGGGGGCTAGAAAAATAATTCCTCTCTAGAGCAGATGTTGGGACTTCTAGAACAACTTTGCCAGGGAGGAGACGGGACGAATCAGCGGTAAAGAATGAGAGCATGGACGAGTGGAAAGCTCTCAGGTATAATAACAACTTCCGTTACCCACACTACCATTTGTAAAGCCCTTTCATGTATTCTCTCCTTTGGCACTTTAAATCGCTCCACGGAGCAAGTGAGAAAGTTACAGGTGTGGAAACAAGATCCAGAGAGCGGGTGGCTTACCACGGGTGACCTGGCTAATGGACCACAAATTGAAGGACTTTACGCCTTTGATTCCAAAGCCAGTGCCCTTATAACTCCC